GTTCTTGGCCAGGAACACCCTCACGTAGTTCGTGGAATATTCGACAAAGTTAATTAAGTACCTATTACCGCGCCTGTCCTTGGGTGTCATGGGCCCCTTGATATCGCTCCCAATGACGCCTCCGATCTTGTCAATGGGTGCGTTCGCTCCCGTATCTTTCTGTGACTGGTTGTTTTTACTCTGCTTGCCTTGTGCACAGGTTAAGCAGTTCATGCGCACTCGGCTCGTCAACCTAATGCCTGATCCGGCCGCGTCGGCCATGCGCTCTACCGTGTCGTACGAGATGTGCCCCAGACGCTTGTGCAGCTCCAATAGTGTCTTCTCGGTCACAGCCTCATTCAGGGAGTTGTTTGCTTCTTTCAGTTGACTGACTACTGCACTAATTCGCGCCTGTTTGCTTGTATTCCCCGCAGTGACTATCATCAACACGTTGTGTCGTCTGTGGACTTCGAACACGCGCACTCCACTCTTCTGCTGCACCATGTAGCTTTTGCCGTCGTGACGCTCAAGGTACACACCTTTCTCCTCCAATCTGCCGTAACTCATGATGTTGTCGGCTAAGTTCTCAGCGTAATGAACATCCGAAATGTTCACCACGACTTCTCGTCCATCCACGATCGTCTTGAGCTCCACAGAGCCTTTCTTGATTACCCTTATGTTCTCACCATTCGCCGCTCTGTATTGATCGTCACAGTCCACTGCGTTCTTCAACAGTTCTACGGTCTTGACTAGATGCACGCTGGATCCACTATCCAAGATCCACGCGTGTGTGTCGGTGTTCGTGTCCGTCCCGACAGCTAGCGAGACCTTGATCTCTTTGGCACCGTTATTCTTCTTCGCAGGACAATTTCTTGCAATATGTCCAATCTCGTTGCAGTTGTAGCACCTGCGAGTGCCAGTATCGTCTACGCGTGAGACGGTTTCCAGTCCTCGTTCACCGTGGATACCTCGGTTACTACCATGGAACCGACCATGTTCTCTGTTGCCGCGACCTCCTTGACTGCGAGATCGTTCGTACTTGCCCATGCTTGCCTCGTACTCAATCGCAAAAGCCACTAACTCCGTAGCTTGCTGCAAGTGATCCATGCGCTGTGAGTTCAGCCTTGTGAGCATGGCACTCTGCAAGTAACCCGGTGCGGACTTACACAAACACTGTATCACGTGTAGATCCGAACACCCCGACCTTTCAGCTACGTACGTCAAGTACTGAAAGTGCTCCGCCCACGTCCTTTCGCGCAGTTTCTCTGCCGTCATCAACTGCAATCCCTTGGATGCAGTAATCGTCGTCATGTACGGTACTAACATTCTATTCATCACATGTTCCAGTGTCGGCGACTCCGCCGTCCAGAGTGGAAGCATCATCTCGAAGTACACCAGTGCAGATCCATCCATCTTGCCGTTCAAGGCAAGGATGCGGAATTCATCCGACCAGTCACCACCGCTCATCTGCTGAGCTGCAGCCAGTCGCTGCAAGAATCGCAGTCCCCAAGTCTTGAAATCCGCACCAAGGCCAGGATACACCTCCTTGCCCGCGAACTTCGCGAAGCCAGTCCAGGTCGCGTGGCTTCGGCACCTTGAGTCCGAAGTTTGGTGGCGGCACAAACTGCTCTGCCATGGGTGCGGCCATCCGCTGTTGCATACTCGTCGCGTTCTCCGTCGGTGGCGTCGGCATCTCTGGAGCTGGCGTCGTCTGCGTCGGCGTCCTCATCGACGCATCGAGAGATCCTACTCTCATCCGCCGTGCTCGAGCCTTGATGAAATCAGTAAACGCGCTCGACTCTCCGTACTTGTGTTCGAAGGATGGCGTGTCCGTGCGGTGCTGCAGCTTCTTTTGAAGCTCCGCTTGGTCAGCCATAAACTTGGCCTGTTGTTTGGCCATGCCTTCAATGAGACCTTCAAGCTTATCTAGCCGCTCAGAACTTGCGCTAGAGTTTCGGCTTTCCCTTCCTGGAGCATCGGACGCACCTGACTCAGACTGCGTCCCCTCGAACAACTCAAACGGGTCTGCTGCCACGTTCAGCCCGTGGACATCAGTCTCTTGGACATCGCGCGGGTTTTGTTGTTGTGAGGTGCCGTCGGAACCCGCTGGGCTCATAACCTGTTGGTCGCTTGTGCTCGGCGTGGTAGATTGAAGACTGATTGAATTTAGTTGTTATGTAAAATGCATTCTCTCCTTCGAGAGGTTTCCTAACTGCTCATCCTGTTCACCTTCTCTGCTGACGCTCACCTTCTCATGAATGACGAGATCTTCACCATCTCATCCGCGTGCGTGACTCCTCAGCATCTCTTGGTCTCATGTAGATCTTTTGTGAGTTCCGACACTTCAAGCTCGATAGCCGGCGTTTAGCGGCCGGCTTTGTGGATGGCCTGGTGGGCCTCTTTGATTCTTCAAGCTCGACCTCTCTGACTCTTCAAGCTCGTCTTCGAAGTATCTAAGTCCGTCACTGAGTACGTTCATTTGAGTTTTCTCTGTTCAGGCTCACATTTTCTGGCGTGTTCTTGGCCGAGCTGAAAATGCTGTGGCTCAAACTAACAGTAGCAACTGTTTTCGCACTTACAAAGCTGTCGAGTTGTGCAAAGTATCTGCGTCAAATTCTAAATTCAATCAACAACTCCGGTTTTGCTACTCCACACGATGGTAAAAGAGTTGCTTTTACTGCTAGTGGTGATTTCACAGCACGAACTAACATGGCGCTGGGCGAATCCAACAACACCCACATCATTCTCGAAAAAAGGTTTTGCTCCAATCAGCGGCACTTGACCGCCATTTCTATCGCGTGTTTTACAGAGCTGTCTGGGGGCGCCGCCACAGATACTGCGTGTACTTCGCCCATAAAACCTCTCGGTGTTATTGAAGCTGGCAATGCAGGAAAGTAATGATACCCGTCTCCGTCATTCATGCTAGTGGTGAACGGTACCGTTCTACAGGTCGCCGCCAGCTCATTAGCACCAGAATCAGTCGCGCATCCAACCATAGTTTCGCCTTCCCGCGCTTGCCTCGGAAGAAGTTGAGCAGCTGCAACGCAGTCTCGACATCTTCTTCTGCCATTTTACTCTTAAGAGACAATGAGCCCCAAGTCGAAGGCCTGCGTGTCATCCGGTATGAATCTCGTCGGTAAGAAGCCGCACAAATGCCTGGCGTGAAGCAATACTGTGTTGGTAGCTCCCTGTTTGACTGCAGATGTCCACGTCCAGTGCGAGCAACTCGCCTCTGCGATGCACAGTTCAGCGCAGCGAGGGCTGGGCTCGGACTCCAGCGACAGCAGCTCGAGCCCCTCAAAGTGACATTTGCGCGACCGTCACTGCCGCGCAACCACGCCTCCACAGAACCGATCAACCCTACAAGCCACACCAAACGCAGCATCTTCGAAAAGATAAGCTCATGTGTCGATAACGCGTATTGTGACATGGAAGTACAGCTGTCACCTATATAGACTGAAATTATCATCTGACTCAACACGATTCTTACGTGTCGCGCTTTTCACTGTCATGGTAGACTGCATGGAAACTCTGAGCGTACGTACCACCGAGAGTTCCATGGAGTTCCTCGTAGCGCTTTTAAGCTCGTTCCAATACCTTACTCCTGCCAGCCCAAGAAGTCTAGCGCCTCGCCGCCGAGGTATAATGATCCCGTCACTAGGACACTCCAGTTCTCATCCCACTGGTCATCGACCTCCGTGGCTTCTCCCTCGATAAATGAAGCTTCAGACTCATCAGAAAGCTCGCGTAGCTCATTGATGCAGTCCACGACCGAGTCCTTCACCGCAACGACGCACTTGCTCTGATCCTCCTTGATCACATAAGTCTTCAATCCGGTCCAGATTCGTGAGAGCGTAGATTGCCATGCGTGCGGCTCATTAGTCACGTCATCGAGCGCCACCAATTCCTCTGGTAAGTACGCAGCCAGCACGTGCTGGAGCCCGGCAATCTCAAGGGCCTCTGAGAACGTGTGAACCTTAGCCAGACTCGGGCGCGATGAGCTCGTCGGACAAAAGTAGACACGGTCAAAGTGCTGCAACAACAGCGGCTCAAAGAGCTGTGCCACGTTGCGTTCGTGATGGATAGTAAAAATGAGAACTCGCTTATCGGCAGGTGTTGTTCGAATTGCAGCCTGGCGGAACCACTTCGCACAGCATTCAAGACTACGCAGCGTGTGCGCGCCGTCAATATAGAAACGCATTCTGTGAGCTTCGTCCTCCCACAACTGCGCTCGGCCAGGCCAGAACGCAAGCTTCAATCCTTCCTTCACAACCGGCTCAAGAGCACCAGCGAAGTCCAGCTGGGCAGTAGCGTCCCCACCACGCTTGTTTCGCAGCCACGTCGACGCTAACGCCACGGCAAGACCTGCGTTCGTGCGCTGGTAGTCTCCGTGTAGACCCAGTTTGCAGTTGACCCCGTCCGGTCCAAAACCATCGAGAGTCGGAATACAAACCAGTGGCGTGCTCGTCTCCGAGGCACATTTCTCCAGCATTTGCATCGCTATCGGATCCTGAGCAGTAGTGAAAGCGAGCACGTCAGGCTTGAGAATTCCAGCCTTGGCATACGCAATCAGATCCAGCGTCTCGCCCAGCACGGCGAGTGTGATCCAGGTCAAGCGGCGACCCTCCACAAAACTACAGGCTTGCGGAAACACATTCGTCGCATCCACCGTCCGCCAGGTCCGAGCCTTTAACAAACCACGTCTACTTTCTCGTCAGCAAAGAGATGCAGCGCCATGAGTGTGAGGAAGCGGAAGAACCACGCCATCGGTGGGTACGGCCCACTCCGGTTCCTGCGTGCGTTCCAATCCCGTCCCACACCGCGTTGAAATGCCTCAAGAACACGTCGTCTGCAATGGGTTTTCCATTGATGCGAAAGCGTTCGCAGGGAGAAACGAGATGCGGCGAAGTGAAGAGTCCAGTCTTGTAGCCTGCCTGACGCAGGATACGTTCCACCATGGCACAGGTGGATCCCTTGCCTTTGGTACCCGCCACATGCACCACCGAGAGAGCTCTGGGGGCGCCACTGTCCACGACGTCATCGAGTTGCAGCCGCTTAAGGTAATGCTGCATCATGGCAATAGTTTCCTCTCGGGTGGAGACCTGCGTGTCCTTACCCGGCTGCAAGTCCTTGAACGCGGAGCTCACACTAAGCAGACGATTCAGCGCTGCCTGCACTTGCTGGCTGAGGTCCGCCGTGCTGCTGGTGCTGCTCATGGGACTGCTGGGTGTCGACGTGGCGCTACTGGCACTGGAGGGGGCCACTTTGACGGGCTCCACGGGCGCAGCGACTGCGGGATTTGCTACAGCCTCCGGCATACTTGGACAGAAGAAGTTATTAATACACACAGCCCAACGATCGCGCAATGAGCTCACATCTGACCGTGTTTAGCGCCGTTATTATCCGGCCAATCGTAGCCATTTTAGGAGTGAGTCTTTGCTTCTTATTGGCTATTAAGAGATCTCTTTCTGTCACTATGTCACTAAAATAAGGGAATCATTGGCTGGCGCTGACGCCGCCACACACGTCACAGATTGCCAGGCAAATTGTTCATTAAACTGCGCAGGAGGACTGGGCACAACTGCAGACGATGGTGCGTCTAGGTGTGAAGATCAAAAAGCGCGGAAAGGTGCCGCAGCGCCGCCGGAAGCAAAAGCCACTGCGCAAGTTCAAGACCAAGTTTGTGCGTGACCCAAAGGTGCAGGAGGTATGGGACCACAATCTCACCACGCGCCAGAACTACGAAAACCTGGGCCTGCAGGCCAACCCGAACGCGCACGGAGCGCTGCGTGAGAGCGTTGCGGGTGCGGAGGGGACGCTTGATGCCGCCGACGAGGCTCGGCTATTCGAGGTGCCCGACAGTGACTTCCTTGGCGACCGTAACTCCAAGCGCGTGGCCAACTACTTGTCGGAGGAAGAGACCAAGTATCTACGCAAGCTCATTGCCAAGTACGGCGAGGATTACAAGAAGATGGAGCGTGACATCAAGACCAACAACATGCAGTGGACAGAGCAGAAGCTTCGACGTCGCTGCGCGCGTCTCGCGCTGCTGGATGCCAACATCATTAGCAAACCGCAGGCAGAGGAAACATAGGACTGAGCGAGTATGGTCCAATAGATTTTCAACGAAATTTGCAAAAAGCGCTGTGATGGAGGCTGTACAGAAGCTGCGTGAATTCTCTATTGTTTGTGATCTTTATGCGCTACTGCGCTCCTTCACTCTACAGGAGACGCTGCGCGTCTGGTGTCCAAGCCAACTTCTTCCTACTGTCACTATTTCTCTGATTCCATGCTATACAACTGCTACCTGGCGGCTTTCGAGCAACGCAAGTCACGCGTGGCGTATAATGGGAGCTCTGATACACTAATAAATACGCCGTGACTTCGTGTCAGCCGACTGCTGCTTGACCTCTGCCGTTTGTTCACTTCGGTGCCAATTTAACCCGAGGTTACGGTCACGTGCTGCAACTGAGGGGATGTCGTGTCGGGTGACGACGCGTTCGATGCCGAAGTTGGTGATGCCGAAGAAAACGGCATTGCTGACGAGGATACTTTCCCGCATGGGCCTCGAATGATGGACGTCGGCGGCGGGGGCGAGATACCACCGTAAGACGACGACGACGACGACGACGAGCCGCTGGTAGACCCCACGGTTCCAGTAGTTGCCACAGAAGACGTCGAGCACAACGATCCAGAAGGCGATGACACCGATGACGCGGCTGGACGTTGTATCTGCTTCAGCATTCCAGTCGATAGGTTGGTCACTCCAGCCAACGCAGCTCTCGCCTTAGCGCTTGAGGAATTCCCCGAAGGACCAGTCGAAGAACCGGCGCTCCCCTTCCTTGATGCTGCGCCGGCCGCAGCCTTAATCGCTGCTGTGACGCTGCCAGCGAGTTCAAGCGTAGCAGCGGCAGCAGCCTGTGCGTTAGCAGCTTCCTGGGCCTCATCATTAACAGCGTTGACCACCACATGCGGCAGTTTCTTGTGCGCCACCGCACGCTTGTGGTACGCCCGCTTTGCCGCGCGCAACTGGTTCTGCACCTGGCAACGAGGGCACGGGCCGCCCTTGCGGTGACGATGCTTCGTGCCTTCCACCTTATGCTCCGTGGCTTCAATCTTGCGCTTGAGCTCGCGTAGATCCTGAGGAAGGTTCGTCAGGTCCGGCAAAGGCAAGTTTTCCAGCTTCGAAAGAGCCATTTTAGACAATGACGCGCCTGGTCCCACAATTCCCTTGACATCCAAGTCTTGTTCAGTGAATGTCCCTTCCAGGTCGGCAAAAGTCTCTTGCATCTTAAGCGTCATGAGTCGCTTGCGTTCCTCGCGTTTCTTAGGTGTCTTCTTCTCGCCCTTGCCTGGAGACTTGCTGTTACCCAGACTATTTTCGTGGCCTGTTGCTAGCAGAGGCACAAAGCCGCTAATTGTCGACCCGTCCGAGCCATCCCCACCGTTTCGCTGACCACCAAAGGCGAGACTAGTCGCCAGAGACCCTCCAAGCTGGTGTGGATGCAGCCCACTGCCACGTCCAGAAGTAGCATCGCCACTGCCTGGAACATTGAAGTTCACGAGCTGCACCTGGTTCTTGTAAGGATGATGCAGTTTCCGCTTGTGCAGACACGAGCTGAGAATGTGGCTCACCGTGCGGTTCTGAAAAGTGCCAAAGTCCAAGCTGTTCCAATCCTCCACAATATCGACGTTGGACGGACTCTTACTGCTCATAGGACTCGAAGCCATGACCTTGTCATAAGGCTGTTGAAGCGAGCGGTGGGTTTGGATCGCAGTGAGCCCACTAATAGCGGGATTGGAGGAGGAGATAGCCGAACCGTTCGCACATCGGCCAGCCACACCAGCAGATGTTGTAGAATTCCGTGCCAGGCCGTTAGCCTGCAGCCTCCGCTGTTCCTGCTGCTGAGCAGCCTCCAGATCCCACTGCAAGAACCGGTTCTCACGGTCGCACAGCACAGCGTGGTCAATCGACGAGAGCAGGTCGTGCTCGTAGTCGTCATTCTCCATGCCCCATACATTTCCGTCCTCGTCTTCGTCAGCTTTGCTCTCGTCGTCTGTTTCCACTTTACTCTCCGTGTCTGGAGATACTGAAACACGCAGTGTCTGCGGACTATCCGTTCGCGAGAGCTTAGCACGCTTAAGCGGCGGGCTGGTCGGCAGCGACGTGTTGCCGCCCAGCATGAGATCCAAATCATCGTCATCATCCTCGAACAGTGCAACCGTCACAGATTTCTTGCTAGATGATGAGTTCTTTGCAGCTAGCGGTTTTTGTGACACTGGTGTAGTACGTTTCCCTCGCAGGAATCCAGTCATCGTCTTTGCTGTCTCGGTAGTGGTTTGGGACGGTCTTCTGTTGTAGAAATCCGTTGGTGCCGCGCTTCATAAACGGAGACGCGGTGGGCGGCACCACTTGCGCTGCAGACGAGGCGTGTTTGGCATCTTCTGCAGTGGCAATCTCGCTTAGTGCTAGCGGCTGCGGCTGCGTGTGTTGGAAGTCAAATACGTCCATGTGGTGGTCTAGGTCGCCGAGATCGAGATCCATCCAGCGCTGCAGCTCGTCTTGCGAGTCCATCTCCTTGTCGCTTTCTTTGGATGCTATCCTAGCGATAGTTCTCCTCGTCTTCCATCTCCGAGTGCCCCGTAGCAGTCTCCGCGCGGCCTCGTCCTCTTCCTGCGTGCGCGACAGCGGGAACAGTCGCAGCAGCTGTTCGTCTTGGCTCACCAGCGAGTCCACGCGCTGCACAGTCTCGCTGGCGTCGCATGAGCTCTCGGAGAACTCTTTCATAATATGCAGGAACTCGACGCACGTTTGGCTGCGCATGTCGGCGGACTTGATTCCTTTAGCCGCTTCGTTCGTGGTAGCGATAGCCGCGGCGGCGGCTGTCGAGGACGCACACGGTGTGTCGCTGCTACTAGTCGTAGGTATGTGTAGGCGCGACGGCTTCTCCGAGCGCGCGAGCGCCGCGGTGGTCGCTTCTCGAGGCGACGTCATCTTGTCGGCGGTGGGTCGGTGCTTTGCTCGTAAGCTCGGGCAATTATCTTTGCCTGCCCAGCCATTACGCCCAGACGACGGTGCAACAACGACAATAAATGGGTAGCGCATTTGATTTGTCAAAATTTATGGTGGCCAATCACATGGGCCCGTAGTCCGATAATGGGTCTGTAGCACATAAAGTGGACCGTTGATTTAGACACAAATACCTAAAATCTCGCAGCGTCCAGTTCAGACCTGGCGTGCGGCTTTTGCACCGAAGACATCAACTCCGATTCACTCGCAGTCAATCACATTGCTCCAACGCATATCCGCACCGGCTTGGCACCGGTTAGGGCTAGGTTTTGACTGATTTTTCTTGCTTTTTGTAAGAGTGTAGAAATATCAACGCGTGGCAGTTCCATTTGACCGAGCAGGGTTTATCCGCCACAAATGGCTACATTTGGCATGAGGACGCTGCTGCGCTGCGTCTTGCTTCGAGTATTAAAAAGGCATTTCTTGAGCGCAGCACAGCGATGACGGTAGTGCCGGACCGAAAGACGTCACTGTAGCATTTTTATTAAAAGTTTCATGTTCATGTAGTCACAATTTGCTACCTTGGGATCGGAGGGTTTGCACTGCAAACTTTGCAGAGGATACCGTACTTGATGTTGAAGCACTGTAGTTGTATCTACAGCGTACCTGTATTAATGTATTACCCCTGGCTTGAAAATATTTCGGTCCTTGGGACGACAGATTTGCCTCCTCTAGCAATGCAGGACAATTGTGAGAGTGACGGCAAGGTTGGCGTCGTGTGGTGGCACTGCTGAGCGCATTAATCTAGCGTCACAGGCTGCAGGTTTATTAGATGCACGATATGGACGAGGCTATTGGTAGAGAACAAGAACAAATACCTTGATTTCGCTCTATCACATGAAATAACTGCAAGCGTTTGCAGTTTTCCATCTCGATTACCTTTGTCTGTGTCACAGTGAAATACTAGAGCAAATACTCGTCAGTCTTAAAGCCTACTGCTGTTCTGGAACCTGAGTTCACTCAGCAGAGGGAAGGTGGCAAAAAAAACGAATTAAGTGGGAAATGTCATAAAATAAAAATCTAGTATTTAATATTTTTTCAAATCTCCAAGTTAATTTTTTTTGTCAGCTTTTGAGAAAAGAGCTACTATTAATATCTAATATCGAAAATAGTACTACTACTTAGAAAAATATCAAATGAAATTTGGTTACCAATAGCCCCTGGTCAATTATCTGTCTGAGATCCTTACATGTACCGCCATCTGACCGTTCTGCCTCTACAAGTCTCGGTACCCATCACGTCGCCATCTTTTATCAAAACTGCCACACTGCACTCCGTTAGACTGCTCTGAATTCTGTCCCTAGCAGGGGTACTTCCCCATATCGCCTCATGATGGGCTGCGTACAACAGCAGCAAAAACGAAAAGGTATAGTGCGGCTTCAGAAGACCGTTTTGTCACTCAGCGGGTGCAAGTACAGTAATAAAAACGGTTTAGCCCGCAAAAAAATCGGATTAACATAAGAGTGTACTGTCAGAAACGGAGTGGCTTGTTTTGACTGTTTTGAGTTGCAAACACCCTCCCTATGGCATGCTGCTAGAATAGCACGATAGCCTTAGCCTCGTTATGAGCTCAGCTCATAACGATGCTAAGGCCATGAGTTTATTGAGCTGTGGGTGCTTCCCATGCCGATCGAACGGTAAGCGAGCTCCGACAACACTACGGGTTCAGTCTTTGGTGCCACTGTTGGCGCTAAATGTTACTTCAAATTACTCAGTGGTAATCCGAAGTGAAGATGCACGCGTAGGTCGTCCGTTTTTCCTTACATGGGTTTAATCCGCTCCCCATGCAGTATTTATCTTTTTTGACAAAGAGGTTATGCCATGGTAGTCAACATTCATTCGATATTGATAAGCTTAGCTACTCTTCCTGATTTACATCTTCTTCCACATGCGGGCTTGTCCGCACGCAGTTCCGTGGCTACTTCTGCGACTTGAAGTGCTTTAAAATCGCTGTCTCCAACGCTCCATTCTCCTGGTGCAGTTCCTTAGTTTTGACCTGCAGCGCCGATGCCGTAGACTTCTTGCGCTCACGGTAGCGGCGCTGGCGCATATTCTGCAGTTGACGAACGCGGTGCTGTCTGCACTAATAAGTTATCATCTAAAGAAGTGACATCGAACTTCTGGCTACAGCTGCATACCTCTCAGGCGCTGTGGTGGACGTGTTTCTTTTTTTCTTGCTGCTTCCGCCTTTATTGGGTCGACGAGCTACGGAACTCGGATTCTTTTTTTCAGCTGAAGAAATGTTTTCTGCATCCGCCTGGTGCCCCACGCTTGATCCTTCTCGCTTCTTGCGCTGCCGGCGGGTGCGGGGTGCCGACTCCTCATCGGACTCGCACAAGATGAACGATAGCGACATTGACGTCATTCGAGCTGCCAAGCTTCCTAGCTCTACTCGAAGGAAAATGCAGTGAAAGTCCACGCGGAGATTTCCATCTCTAGACTTACCGCCTTTTTCAGGAAGCCATGTCTTCTCTGCAGTTATACTAGAAAATTGAAGTCACATCCTAGCAAGAACCGAAACGATCTCTATGTCACTGCTTCGCTTCTCTTCAAATTAGTGTTGATCCAGTCCCTCAACATCGTCTGACTTGCGTTTGCGGATCTTCTCTCGCAGGTTCGCGAAACTTACATTACCCGGGTTACTCTTCGAAGCTGTCTCTTCACCCTCAACCACAGCCATCTCCTCAGCGCTTGGTGTACGCTTCACCATTGTAACGAGGCGTCTGGCGTACTTTTTCGTAAGCTTCTGTTCCGAATTCGCGATAACTTGCAGACTAGGGTGGCGCGGAAGGTCGGAGTCCGTGTATTCGTATGTCGTAGGCAGTAGGTAGACTAGCCGACCACCTTCGCGCAATGTTTGAGCGGCGAACTCCAGTAGATCCTTCATCACATCTTCAGCAGCGTACGGTTGGGTGGGTGCGATATAGTTCGCCTGCTTGATTGCCATAGCCACGTCGCTCTTGGTCTGGCGCTTACGCCCACTCTTACGAGCACCGGCACGAATTCCATAAGGCGGGTCACACACAACAGCGTCGAAGAAACCCTTGCACTGCCTGGTAAGAGGCGACATAGAGTTGTCAGCGCGCACGAGCTCTGGAAGCGGAAGACCATACTGCTTAAAGTTAGTGATAACGTTCACGCGCTCCTTTCCGTCCGACCTTGTATCTATGGGAACAACGCCAGCGCCTGTGACACCTACACCAGTACCGAGCAGCACCCGGATGTCGATGTCTGTGCCGTAGCACATTGCGCCGTGGGTTCCACACGGGATCAAGACGCTCCCAGTGCCCACAAACGGGTCGATTACCAGATCTCCATGTTGCACCAGCGCCATATTACACATTAGTAGGGCCATTTCCGACTCCATTGACGTGGGGCCAATGTACGCTCTGCGCTTCAATGTGTGTTGGTCGACCAGGTCTCGAGCACCACCTCGCCCTCGATTTTTCTCGCTGCCCGCAAGTTCGCGTAGAAAGAAAATCTGTTTTGGCTTCATGCCCGGGTGCAGGTCCTGGTCCAAACCCAGTTCCTCGAGCACCAAGAACGTCTCGTCCGGGCTCTTCATTTGCACGGGGCCCGCAAAGGGTAGAGATTCGCGAAACTTTTCTCGTCGTTCGCGTTGTTCGTCCATGCTGAGCTTCTTGCCGAATATGGCCACGTTGATGCGCCATGAACGCTTGTCATCCTGCAAAATCCGATGCTTCTGTGGCCCCTGAAAGGCCTCCACCGATGACACGAGCTCGTCGTAGCCGCCACCACTGGCTGTATGACCCCATACCTCGTACACGCCCTTGACGAGAATGCCACGCTCTGAGAGGAACTTAGCGTGCTTCGCTGAAGGGAGCTGCACCCGCACGAGTGGAGAGCTTTCGGGTTCCGGCAGCTCCCCAGTGCCCGGGTCCTTCAACACCGTCTTATTGGCATTAGGGAGATTCTGCATTGCCAGCAAAGCCTCCAGCTCCGGGTAACGGAAGTCGAAGTGCTGGTGCACGAAGAAAACAAGGTACTCCGGCATTTTGAAGCAGATTTCGAAGCGGTAGGTAGTAAATAGCGAGGCGTCTGCGTTGCCAGTATCCAATGCCTGCGAAATTCTGCCAACGAACACGACGAGACAGATACAACGGTGTGCTTGCGTCCAACGAAGTGTTTCTTTATTGTGGTGTTCGAAACACAAACGACTTTCAGAAAGGTACCGGTACAAAACAGAACTACACACTGGTCTTGTCAATTCCGTCCAAATTTACACTTTATGAACCGATCTGATTATTCAAAATAGCAGTTAAGCAAATTCGCAACAGCAAGTTTCATCTGTAGCGACGTCTTGCCTGGCGGAGGTGTGAAGTATTATACAAGGGTGGTGCAGCGGCGTCTTACCTGGTGGAGATTTGTAGCATTATACAAGCGTGCCATATCAATTTCGTTATGCTAATGTTATTGTTTGCAATGTTGGACAGAAAGAGCCTAGTCATAACTCACTCGTAACCAAGGAGGTAGCGGTAACAAGCCGGCATGCCCACCCCAACACTGTATTTCATTGCCTCTACGGACTTTATTGCCTCTGATATTCGCGTAAGGACCTTGCTCGAATTTATCACAAGTCTACAAAGACGATTGGGAACTGGATCAACGTCTACGAGAAAACCGGGACCTACCAGCGGGACGAAGCAAGTTCAGATCGAGCATTTACAAAGGCACATCGAAAGTGGCTATGTGAGTTCTACACTATGCAGCCGCTAGCCTATTTAGATGAGGCCCAGAAAGCTTTCCTCAAGGCTCATCAAATGAGCATTTTGAAGACATCTGTCTGGAGAATACTGCACGATGTTGGATTTATTCGCATGATGCTTGAGCGAAGAGCGATGCATATTAAAGAGAAAGACGTGTTACGCTTTGTGGAAGAGCTCATCTCTGTCGACTGGTGCCACCGAAACATTGTCTTTTTAGATGAAGTTTCATTTGATAACCGCGGAATGATCCGCAAGCGAGGTTATTCACTTAGGGGACACAAGATTGCAATTCGATGTGATTTCCCACGTAAACCACGCGTTTCAGTCCTGGCGTTTCTGGGAGTTGATGGAATCATTGACTATTATAACACTGACGGAACATTCGACCGTGTCAAGTTCTTCGCGTGCTGCAGAGACCTTGCATATTCAAATCGTGGAAAGGTTCGCCAGTACCCTGGCACCAATTTGGTATGGATTTTTGGATGGCGCCTCGATTCACCGAGACCCAGAAATAATTCACTTCCTTCGGAGTATCGGAGTGATCCCTATTTTTTGCCTGCCTACTGTCCATTCTTCAATCCGATTGAGTTTATGTTCGGCTATATCAAACAGTCAGCTCAGAGGCATTATGTTGAGTCAATTGATAGCGATCTACTTCCATTTGTGATTGAAACGCTTACACGTTTCGAAAAGTTTAAAATGGCGAACGTCTTTCAGCACTGCAGCTGGATAGAGCAGGGCCATTCGATCCGACTGGCCCCTTGTCAAGAGAAAATCGATACGACGCAAGACAGGAGAGCTTAGATGCTCAAGGTATCATTAATAATAACCATTTAGAAATTTTTACGAGGCAAACTATTGGATTTAAAAGATAATACAATGACTTGCTGAAGCACTACGCTTGGTGTTCGATGTCCTCCATGTTCTCCATCGAAACTAGCGGATCAATCACAGTCAAAATAGGTCGTAGAGGAATATTGGCGCGGATACCTTGAAGTGTCCTTTTGCGCGCTTCAAGTTGTTCGTCTTTCTGATTCGCTAAACGCAATTCAACCATCTCCCAGTGATGGTGTAGCTGTTCGTTGTTTTTAAGCGAAGCATCAACAATATGGAGAGCCAAATCAGCCGATTTAGTGACGTCTGATTTGTGTTGCTCAACTCGCGCATCAGCTGCCTGGGGCATCGGCAATATCCTAGCTGTTGGAGGGTCCAACACGGCATTTTCCCATGTAGAGCGATCTAAATTACGCACGATTTCATTCGCCCACATTCTACACGCTGCAGCGCTGGCTTGAAACGTTCCTCTCCAAATTTCACGAAGTCGTTCCACCAATTCAAGAATTGACGCCTCTGCAGCAGCGCCAGAACGGTATGTGTGCTCTGGTCGGATACAGGCCACCTGGAAGTCCCCGAGAATCCGTGCATTTGACATACTTAGACCATAGATGTAAATCGTCAAGGTGATCACGGAGTGAAGCAACCCAACAGCTCCATGATTCTTCAGACTTTGACGTCGGAATAATGCGTCCATTCACCTTAATTTGCATCATATTGTTCCACGTAGACTCGCTCGGCTCAACACAAGTCCATGTATCACCCTCTTTAACGACCTGGTCCTTAATATGACACTTCAAATTCTCCCAAAACTTGTGCATGATAGCGTCAAACGTGGCTCCATTTGCAGCAAAAACATCTAGCATCTTGCCTGATGAATCACGCATCTCAACAGTGCCTTTGACGACGCCTTGTACCATTAGTTGTAGGCGGTGTTGATCTGGATTATCTGGCGATGTGCTCAGTGATGCGCGAGCTCGGTGACTAGCTGGATATGCTGAAGATGGAAACAACTGAGGAGGCGTTCGCTCTCGCGACGGGTGCGGTGAAACACTCAAGGCTGGCAACGTCGAAGGTGGCGCCCCTCGCGCGGACATTGGGCGGCGTCCTGACACGCAAGGCACAGTACTTCTGCCTTGCTCTGCATCCGTCAGTGCTTGTCCTGGAGTCCCAGCCTGGGACTCCCAGGTCTTGCCGCTTCATCGGCCATGCTAACACCGTCCCCAGCAAGGCTTGACTGGCAATGCAGCTGCGGCTACTGGCCCTCTCCCAGCGCACTGTACACCAGCCAGACGGGCGACTTCGACTGGGGTACTGCGATCTTGAGGCAGGTGAGCACTGCAGCCTTTGAGAGCTTCATGGGTCGTAGCGTGTACTCGGTCGTAGCTAGCGGCTCAGTGAGAATCGTGAACGGGGCCTCAGTGAGCGATTGCGGGGCGCAAGTCAGATTGAATCACCTATTTTTAAATGCATATATATATGCTGATAGGAAGTTTACGCGGTTCGGCGTGCGATTGGTTTGAAGAACCGCGTGCTGAACGTTTGAGTAAAACTCACAATACATGTATTTTGTTCGCTTGCTAGCCCGCTATTCGAAGTTTAAACTCACAACGGGTTAACATTTTTTTAGCGGACTCACAACGGGTTAACGTCTGGATGAACTCGGTGGCAAAGTGCCAGGTCTTCTTTACCGCTTCCTTCGTCGCCCAGCCTTCGATGGCACCGCAGCACACCCAGCCGTGGGTCATATCCGGGAAGTTCGCCACGACACTCTGCTTGGCGGTAGCAGGGTTGGCCTTAAGAATTCATTCGACCGCCGCACTGGCTAGCGTGAGGAGGGTCGTTGCCAGCTGCACAAAGAAGTTGGGGGACTGAAATACTCTCCGTCATCTTTATAATGGCATTTTCACCATTCACAAGCTCTTCAGCCATTCAGCTGGGGTGAAACGAGATGTGGCCCTTAATCACAGGCGTCTCCAGGGTGGACTGCTTCGCTCCAACGTACACGCCCAAGCAGTAGCCGTAGCTGCCAATGGACTCCACTCCAATTTCCTCTTCAAGGTAGGCGATGGCGTTAGCTACGTGGGCAGCCGATACCTTCTCAAAACTGTTTTTCTTCAACCATGCGGGCACAGTAACGCCGTCAAGAGTGGTTGGGTAGTTGCCATCAACAAGCACGACAGTGTACCGTAGTTCTTACATGTATGCGCTTGGCGACATTCATATTCTTGAGGTATTTGCCAGCATAAAAAATACATGCATAGAAAAAACTATGTACCGGTAGCGTGCGCAAAAATATATTTGAAATTTAAATCAATTTGATTGGCTGCTGGATTTGTCGCCAATACCTGAGCGTCGCCAATCACATAAGGAATACGGTAACCCAGTTTGGCCAACATTTCCGCACCCTCCTTGATTCGGCCGCTGTTCGGGCCAAAAATATCAGGAACGGCAGACTTGGCTCGAAGAGGGCCAGCGACAGAGAGATTGGTGCTGCGAAAGGTCTTAGCGACGATGGCATTGGCGGCGGCCTCATTGTAGGGCTCCATGACGACAGGACAGCAGCTCATGACTGCTGATTTTGGTGCTAAAATGACGCTGACCAAAGGTGACAAATTCTACAATGAGCCGATCGGTACATATAAAGAGAATCGACCGAAACAAGGATACCGGTTTATCTAGAGTGAATGGGGCATAAAATAAAGTGAAGTATTTACGAGGTGATTGTGGCAGATTTCGTGATATCTAAAATATTATTCATGCCCATTCACTAACTGTTCGTCATTACCCCCACGAAAGTGCAGAGCTTATCTGACCAAAGTGAGAGCTGCTTAATAAAAATGAGACAACTCAAAACGAAGTGATCCTTAGCAATACAAGTAAAACCTTTTTTTCAAGTTAGCAGGTGTACTTGATCAGTGTTGTCCGATTTTGTTTGATGAACAAACAGAACGAACAATGAAGCAATCTGCCGGGTGATCGTTGCGTCAACAGTTTGTTCACGCCATCTGGCTGAAAAAGTGCTACTTGGTTTTTGTATTGCTCTTATCCTCGCAAAACTGTTAACAGAGGCCACTAATAGAGAGAAAAGGAAGGACCAACGGAGTCGGTGGCTTGCTCTTTAGTGAGCACGCGAACGCCGAACAGTTCTTCTAGTGTGATTTTTAAGCCTCGGTCCCCAGACAACCTGCGCTCTTGAGGAAAGTTAGGGTCGTTGCGTGGGGGGAAGGCTTTAATGCTACGTGTGCGGCTTGGGTAATTAGTTTCTGGAAGGTTACAGTACAGTTCACATCACATACAGTTCTAGAAAAGTAGTTTTCCTTTATCTTTGGTGATGGGTCAACCCACGTGCATAATATTATTTGTGCAAAGAAAGTGTTTTTAAAAAGACTTTTCTAGCTGAATACTCAAACGATACAAAACTGTAGCGACAGTGTATACGAAATCGCTGGAT